TTGCTCCACATAAGGTAGTTGGAGGCGGTGAGTTTAGTAACATTTGACATGTTGACATGGAGAAGAGAATCAGTTTTTGTGGAGATGGTTTCAAAGGAAGCGTTCACGCCTGTGGTGGATGTGGACATGGTGAGTTTGACCGGAACAGAGAAGAAACGGAAAAAAAGAGGAGATTTGAAGAAAGAAGGAACGGCGGCCAAGGAGAAAGAAAAAAAAATTTTAGGTCTAGGTATCTAGAGCTCTGATACCATATAAGATGCTGTGAAAGTGATGATTCTATTGATATGAGATTACATGAGCTTTATACAGAGACAATTGAGCTATACAAGGCAACATAATATTTACACAATAATGAGAATAATTTGACAGAGATGATTGTGGTCAATCATATATGTTAGCTTGATTTGCATATCCTTAATAATTTGAAGTTCATTAGAAAAAAGTTTTTAGTTCCTCTGATCTTTATTTTTCGTAAGTGTTTGTGAATTTGAAAATTTTGGATACCATGTTAAGTTTTGCTTCAGACACTTATGCAATTATATGTAGTTTGTCTATTATTAGCATTTGCAGGCCTAGTGACTACTAGTACATGTGTTTCGTGTATCTGAAGTTCTTCCTTGCTTATCAAGATATAAACATCAAACAAACGTAAAAAAAAAGGAGGATATACTAGTCAATTCCAAACATATTCTCCTGAATTTACGAAAGTACCCTCTCGGCATAAGTTAAGAGGCTTATGTATATATATATATATATATCTATAGGGCCACAATAGGCCCATTTAAGGTCCACGTTTCTAAAGCGTTCAAATCTCCATCGATTCCTGTTTTGGCCGGCCGATCTGTGGATATTGCCGGAAATGAGTCACTGGCGACGAGAGAGGTATCGGAAGGAGGGAGTTACAGTTTGACCAGCGATATCTACGGCGACGGAGATGATAATGCTCGGTTATTTAACCGACGGTGAGGGTTTGTATTTCTCTCTCTTTTTAGTCTTAATTAAATTACTTTGTAGTCCTTCATATATTCTCAGTTATATGTTTGACCCCAAAACTTCGTAAATCTTACATTTCCTCCTCGCTATCATTGCTCTTTCCGGCTTAATCCTAACCGAAGTAAACATGATGTCACGTATGTATGTAACTATGTATATTAAAGGTTCATGTCTCAGAGGTTTACTAGAAAAATATATTCATGACAAGACTTTTATTCTGTAGTGAGCACATGTCTTAACTAGATAAGCAAGACTACTAAATTACAGTAATATGTCTCTGATTTCAATATCATGATCTATAATTTTATCTTCTAGTCAAACATTTTTGAGTTCTGAGAAATCCAGATTTTATTGAAATACATTGTTTGACCAGTTCTTTGTTATGGCATTATCGCATGATTCATGGATGATTTGGACACCATGTTAAATTAATTGTGTTCAGACACTGATCTGCAACTCTATGTCGTCTCTCTGTTTTAAATTGCAGTTCTTGTGACTAGCTCATGTGTTTCGTGTATCTGAAGTCATCACTTGACTTTTATCTTGCATATCAAAGATATAAACAACAACAAAACTGAATTGTTTTATTCTCTTGTAAACCACTTATTCAATCAATAATAATCATGTCTCGTAACGAGTGGTTAATGGTTCTGGTGATCATTGCTCTGTTTAATCTTGAAAACTCACTTGGCAGGCTTGTTTTTGAGGCATCCACTGGGATTATTAATGGTTTCCCAATGTTGACAAACACCAAGAAGCACGTCTATGGTCAAGCCTTCGATGACGAGCCATTCCCTTTCAAGAATTCGACCAACGGTAACATGACTTCGT